TTTCCCTCCTCCCTTTCTGCTCTCTTCCCTAGCTGCTTCTGAAAACAAAGAGCCAAGGTCGAGTTGTGGTGTTGATGGGATCTTCTTCTGACATCAGTCATTGTGAAAAAATAAAAAAGGCCTGTGCAACCTATGGAATTCCTTGTGAACTAAGAGTGACCTCTGCTCATAAAGGGCCAGACGAAACCTTGAGGATCAAAGCAGAATATGAAGGTAAATGCCAAAGAAATGTGTGTTTGGATTGAAACAGCATCATGTTCCAGAATGACTTGGCAACTTCAGGATTTATATGGAGTTTTTCCATTTTTTGTTAAACAGGACGCTAATTGTTTAATTAGTGTTCCACACTTGCTAATTGTGTAATGACTGCTCAAAGCAATTTCAGAGTAATGAGTCCTACTGCCCAGCCACAGCTTTGATTACTTGAGTCTAATCTCTGCTTTCATCCCAGTACAACTGCTTTGCTCAAGCCTTGAACATGCTAATGCATCTATCCTAGCATTGTGCTGATGCCATCCCTTCTGAAATGAGAAACAATAGTTCTCTAGCTGACTCTGAATATTCTCATGTGTTATTTACAAGGCAGATGTTGCTCCCACCAAGTTTTCATGCCTGTTTCATGAAAATATTCTCACTTACTACTTTAGATGCCATGAGAAAAAAATACTTGATTTAAATTATTCTCTTTGCTAAGCAAACTTGACATCTCTTCAAAAGTGTTTATAGCCTAGTAGAAGAGATAAGAACTGTTTATTTTTGTGAGATTATACTTTCTACTTGTTGAAACTACAAACGTGGTAGCCATAACTGAGAAACACTTTGAGGTGAACTGTTTTAAGATTTAAGGAGAGGAACACTTAAAGATGCCAGAGGTTTAATGGCTGTGTTCTCTATAAAGTAAGTAGCAGCTATTCCTCTGATACTGAGACTGCCCCTCAGAGGCAGAGTAAGAAATCCTAACTTCAGTTATGGTAAAGTAGCTGGAATTTAAGGCTGCAAGATTTAGCAGATATTTCTGTGAAAGGGGAAGCCAGACACAACATTCTAGTGTCATGTAATGGAAATAGCAAAAGAACAGCAAGCAGAATGTGGACTTGGATAAAGTTCCCATGAAAACAAGTGGTAGAGAACAAGGTGTGGATTGCTTATCTCTGAATGTCTTCCTCCCTGCCAGGAGATGGAATCCCAACAGTGTTTGTTGCAGTAGCTGGCAGAAGCAATGGTTTGGGGCCAGTGATGTCTGGGAACACTGCTTACCCTGTTGTCAACTGCCCTCCACTCTCAGCTGACTGGGGTACTCAGGATGTGTGGTCCTCTCTCAGACTACCCAGTGGTAAGATATTTGCAGCTTATGCTCTTGTTCTGATTTAGCTCTACTTCTGTTGTTGTTACAGTGTACACACATGTATGAACACACACATGGCAAAGCATTGGAAAAGTATTTGAACTAGTACCGAGCAAAGTCTTTAGAAATATGTTGTGTACAGTCTTTGACTTGTTAATGGCAAAAAGCCCAATAGACAGAGTAAATACTGCACAGGAATAACCTTTAGAAAAACAAACTTTGGCTTACTCTTGCTAAGCATTCCACTTTGAAATTGGAATTAGTATTAATGGGAATTTAAGTAATTAAGTTTTGTTACATTTTTCTTATGATCAAAGATGAAATAACATCTTTCTCCACAATCAGTGTAGGTAAGACCTCAAACTATTACCTCAGTGCATTGCTACCTGTATGATTTTTTACTTTGTTGGTGACTTGAATGGATGCTTGGCAACTAGGAAGCCCAGCAGTTGTTACCTCTGCATACAGGGGAGTCATGTGGTATGATGACTTTTGGGTTAAAATGCCATGAAACTGTCATGTTAGAAGTAGTGCAACACATGACACTTTGCTAGCTTTCAAACTAGATCATGTGGCTCCTGGAGACTGGAACAAACCTTGTCTTACATTGTTCTTCAGAGACAATGTATTGTTTTACTATAAACTATGCTTTAGTAAGTGGCTTTCTCTTCTCTGCAGGTCTTAGCTGTCCTACTACTCTGTCACCTGAAGCAGCTGCCCAGTTTGCTGCCCAGATATTTGGGTTGAACAACCACTTGGTGTGGGCCAAACTGAGATCAAATATGCTGAACACATGGATCTCCTTGAAGCAGGCTGACAAAAAACTTCGAGAGTGCTCCTTGTAAGTCACAGTAACAAGTAACTGTTACCAGTTACACAAAGATGGAATGTGTATTCATGCATATTAGGATTCACATTTGGATGAGCTCAAAAGTTCTGCATCATTTCTTGCAGAAGAAAGCATTGTTAGAGCAGAAGATGAAGTCTGTGTCCTCATCCTTCCCTTGTGTATTTTTTTTAATATAACAAGTAAGCAGAGATGGGGAAGTAGTATTTTAGGTCTCTCTTTCTGTTGCTCCAGACTGGTGCTGTTCTGCTTTTCAGTCTATACCGTTAACTACAGGCTATGTCAAGAGAATGATTTGGTGCAATCTAAATAGAATTCAGCTAGACTTCTGTATTTCTGTAACAGTAATATTCTTCCATAGTATTAATGTCTTGAACCTTATTAACTCAGCTGGATTGCTGACTAAAGCCAGTGCTGAAGATGTTCTGCTTGCAATGATGGTTTGCTTTCTTTAGCAATAAAATGGCAACATATGCTGTATTAATAAGAGGAGGGGGTGGAAAAATGTTTTAAGAGCCTGAAATAAATACATGCCTTATTTTAAAAAATGTATATACATACATGTATCTTTTTTAAAGTATGTGTGTGTGTATGTACCCCATTGATATGTTTTGGAATGATGTGATGAAGTTGACACCAATTCTCTTGTTCATAACAAGCTATAAACACAAGTGGTTTGACCTGTAACTTGACTTGTTGCCTGTTTGCTGTAACTCTTGCCTAGACCAGGCTTTTAAATACTGGCACATCTCTACCTTGATACTTGTAAAGGGCCTATGTGATGATGCAAGATTGTCTTCAGACACTTCCAATAACTCTAGCTGGTTACATAGTTCCTCACTCTGTTTCTATGGAAATTCAACTGAACTGAAGAGGGGAATAAATAGTAAAGCAACAAACTACTGGGGGGAAATCTAAGCATGACTGTCTTGTCTTTGCACACACCAGTCTTCTGAGTAGGTACAATTCTAACAAATATGCAATTACTCAAGGTATGTTGAACTTATGCTTTTACAATTATAAATAAACTATTGAATGCAAAGCTGCTTCATTGAGATTTATTGAATAAATATACTCAAAAGTAGCCACCAGCTCTGGCTCATAACTTCAGGACCTCAAGTGAGCTAATAATCTTGTAAAAAGCTTGTTCCCTAAAACCAGTCATCTGCTAGGGGGTGACAGCCTTCTGGAAGAAAACTCTGCTCTGTGATTAACTCTGCTCTGGGATTAGGTGTCTCAGTGTTACAGGAGGCCACGTTGCTTTGTTCCTAAAGTAGGATGGTGTGGTTGGTCAGGCTTACACTCAAGCATGAGTAACTGGAGTCAGTGATGCTGTCTTGCTTTCTGCTCAGGAGGGGAACCTGTCTTCTGTGTATTGTACAGAAGTGCTCTCTTCAGTCAAGCGCAAGGGTTTTAAATTGGTCAAAGCTCACACTAAAGCAAAATAACTAGAACTCATTCTTAGGCTTGAGGGCAGTTGCTTTCTAATGAAGATATCTAAGTATTTCTAAATGAAGTATCAGTAATAGTGAGAGCCAGTGATGACCAAAGAGGTTGAGATTTCTTTGTGGCATACTGTCTCTTTGGAAGCACTGACTTGAGTGAAGATCCTCAAGGCTGTGGGGGGTTTTAGCAAGCAAACTATTTCTCATGTTTGTACTGGCCTGTGTACCCACTGTGGCCCATCTGAAAGTGTTCTGTCAGCTAGCTCTCCAGACAAGACAGTAGTATTAGCTAGCAGAAGAATTAATGGGGTGAAAAGAGGCCATGCTCTTCATTGGCTCGGGGTGAGTGAATTGGAGCCATTGTGTAATCAGACAAGCAGCAAAGCCAACAACTGTAAAGGAGATTGCAGCACTTCTTTCTCCTGGTGGCAGCTAGCTCAGCTGCAGTACAATACACAACCTGAGGGTGAAGTTACACAAGAGGTAAAGGTGTCATTTCCTATTCCTCCTTACCTGCCCTACACTGGGTGTTGGCTCTGATGGGTAATCTACCTGATTAGCTTGTTAGTCACCTGACAATCCCCCTAGCACCATGGTGAGATAGACAAGCACAGCCAACCACTGGTGTATCTTCTTCCACACATTGCTGTGCTGTTCTGCTGTCTCTGTACAGTCTTCCTCCATGCAATAAAAACTAGTAACAGGTGATGATGTGAGTATTATATGTGGAACATTCTGTTCAGTCTCTAGTGACTCTTCTCAAATTATTTTCACCTTGATTATACACTAACTCCATTTGTAATATTGTGCCAAAATTACATTGGGCATGAGCATGTTAAGTGCTTAGTGGTCACAGAGATGGTTGTTATTCAGCTTTTGGATGGGGTAGGTTGTTTGGGGTTTTTTTTGTGTAGTCTGCACAGAACTTTCAGAAGCAAATCCTCACTGCTTGAGCAGTTGCCTTGCAAAGAAGCACCAGGACACAGCAGCCTGCATTAACAGTGTGTTGCTGTGATCAGCAGACAGAACCTGCAAAGTCTAGCATGGCTGCAAGGACCTCATGTAGTTCTCCTAAAGGCCAAAGTGCTGTGTATGAGCTGTTTAGTTTAGCTGGAAGTTCTTCACAAAGCTTTTGCTGTAAAATGAAAATACTTCCCCTTGATTCATCATTCCAGCTATTACAGGGGTGCAATAAGCCAAGAATTGCTCCAGCTAGAAAATGCTCTTGTAGCACTTGTGCTTTTTTTGTCCCATTGTAAAAACAGCCCAAACAAATTCTTAAATAAAAGAGTGCTTTTATCTTCACAGAAACTATTACAGAGGGCAGTTACTGAAGTTTATCTGTGTTTTGTAAATTGAGTTGGAATACCTGTAATCAAAGCCTAATTTTTAAGTGCCTGCTGTGGAACATAGGACCCTGGATTAGATCACATCCTAATTAGCAGAGTTACCTGCTTAACAGTATATGTGTTTTAAAGATAGATCAGCAAGGAGCTGTAATGAAGTAGTTTAAGATGAGAAGCTCCAGAGAATTTGTTTGGATTGGAAAGTGACTGTATTTGTCTTAATATAGCACAGCCTCCAGTTTCCCATTACATCACTTCCCCTTTCTAACACACAAAACATCTCTAAGTGACAAACTTCCTGTCTGGCACAGCTTCATATTCACTCTGCTTTAAAAGTTATTTCCAATATAGGACATTCTTCCATTGTACCTACCAAACAAAACAAAACCTTCAACCAGAAGTGTAAAGACTTCTTCAACAAGTGCTTTCTAATCTCTGTCCTAGAGAGCCACCCACATCCTCACAGGCACTCCTGACTGCAATTCAGCTACATCACATGTACTAGTGCAATTACTCTTAAATCCATGGTGAAATCCTGCTATTGGCTTTTGTTGTGAAAGCAACTGCAGTCCTGAGTGTCCAAAAATGTGTAACTTCACAAAAATCAAGGCTAAGAAGCCTCTTCATTTTGATTTGATAAAGGCTTTCAAACACCAAACATTAAACATTTTACAGCTTTGAGGTTTTGTATTGTTTTTTGTATGGGGTTTTTTGATTGTAGAAAAGCACATAAATGAGAAGATAATGGACAGATTTCAGTGTGATACAAAGTGGATTCTATCTGCCTGAAACAGGTATCTCACATCTACTAAGTGAAACAACATTCTTTCCATTATAAATTCAGTAGTAGTCAGGTCTCTAGTCAAAGTCAGTACTGAAAAAGCAACATCTCATCCTCTGTCAGGTGCAGGCCTGGCTGTTGTGGTATGTCTCCTGCTCCTGCTCAAAGCCAAAGCTTCAACCATTCCCTCTGGGAACTGTCCCTGCCTCAATGTCAAGTGAGCAGAGCCTTGCACTGTGAAGCTCCTCCCCTGTGCTGTTGTCCAGGAGACTCTGCTGATCTGCAAGATGAACTCTACTCTGTCTCACTTGTAAGTCATGTGAAGCTAAAGCAAAATTTCAGTATTTAGCAGGTATTTATCCCATCCCACACACACTGAGAGCTCAAAGGAATGGGTTCAATCACCTATGAAACTAAGAAGATGACCAAGTCTTGTGAAGTCTCCAGCAATGTTTGCATCTGGCCTTGTCTTTCAGTGGGTTCAGAGCAAACATTTCTCTCGACTGATGTTCTAGCATCACTTCAAGTTTCACCCCCACCAACATTTCATACAGCCATCTTTGGTTATTGTCCTTAAGGAAACTTAGGACCAGCAAAAGGCCCACAGAGAAATGGTTTGCTAAAATGAGTGTGACTAACTGTCAAAAGAAAAATCAAGATAGACAAAGAAACACAAAGTTGTCATTTCATACCAAGAAAAGGAAAGTTTCTAAACCTAAAGTTCATTGGTTCTCATCCAGGGCATCAAGTTGTTAGAAGAAAGGATGTTTGGTGAGAGTAAAAAGACTAGAGGTGAATATTAAGCACAAAGAATTTCAGTGAGATCTCTGACCACAGCTTAGCAAAACTAGGAAGAGGTCATTGCCAGAAAGATTTGAAAAATACACATCAGTTCCAGACAGGTACTTCTCAGCACATCAACTTGTCAGTCATACAACTGAACAAAGAAAGCACAATCTTGTGAATAAGGTGCCCCAAACACTAACTTGAGTTTGGTAACACTGTTTGACAGCCAAAGAAGCCTTGCTGTGTGAGCAGAGGAGGCAAAATTCAAAAATAATTTTAAGAAATTACTCCCCAAATTCAAAACAGGATGTACAAAGTACAGCATGGTGTCTCCAAGATATTTACTGGGAGGGCTAAGCCAACATTCAGTTTGGCTCGTTGTTCTGCCCCATTCTAACTGCACAAAGTGACAAAATCTGCTCCACAAAACACTCATTTAAAAAAATAAATCCAACTTCCGAAACTTTCATCTCCATTCTCAATTTTCTATCACTCCCAAGAGCACTTACAATCATCATGTGTGTGGAAGAGCTACTGAAGAGCAGTACTTACAGTAAGCCTTAAAACAGCATGTGTTCAACATAACTGCTTTTTATGTTGCTGCTGTTTCTTTTCAATAAAGTTCTGCCTTGCATAGTTTACAATTCCAGAAGTAGAACTCACATAGGCACAGGATAGTGCAAGCCAACTGACACTATCCGAATTTTTACTTTGTTAAAGTCATGGGAATGTATAAAAACAGAAGCCTTCAAGCACTTCCAACACTTAGAACACTTCCAGCAGAGTAGGGAATGCTCAATTTCAAAACTCAAGCTCTTGGCAAGAAGGAAAAAAAAATAATTACCACTAGATTATTTGGGTATCTCAAGCCTGGCTACAGGGACTTTTTGCTACTAAAGAAAAAAAAAAAATCCTGCCACTTGCCTTCTTATGAAGATCACGGTGATACAAATATTAAGTTTCTAAGATTATAAAATATAGAAGTGGAGAACTACAGGATTCCCTCTCTTCTTTTATTATGTAAATAAAGCTTTACAAATATTCATCCAGGACTTTATTCATACCATAAAGGGAAAAATTACCCTAGCTAGAAACCCACATTAAGAATGATCCAGGAGATTCTGGGCTGACTGCAATATCTCAGGCCTTGAACTCCAGAGGAGAAGAAGGCCAGAGCATCTGACTTAGCAAGTCTGTGAAATACCTCACAGCTCTATAAGAACAGTTTCCCCCAACTTCTAAGTTTTGTAAAATGCAAACTTCATACCCGATTTAAACAAAGTAGATAGAAAAGCAGGACACCAGCAAAAAAACCCTGTCTTACCAATAATCAGTCTGAGACAGGTACTATAATCAGTAACAGATTATGTACATACCAGTTATGTCATGAAGTGCTCACAACCCTAATGTAGGTTAACCAGCAGCTTCTGGATTTACTTAACATCCCAGAATAGAAGCACATGGAAAAGGAAAGTGATTTTTAGTTTCTGATAAAGTTAAAAATATTACAAACTTTCAGCTTTTATTGAAAATTAAATATATTAGCAAAAGCAAGATTTAAGAAATATTTTACAAATGATTTACATACAAGAAAGCCAGTATCAGACATATTCACAAATATGCAAACCTTTAATTACAAAAAGTACCTATTGGCAGCATGATGCTAACCTTGCCACTGCAATGTGCTCTACTGTTGATATGAATAAGGCATAGAACTCACATTTGCACCAACTTAAAAAGTTCAAAGAAACTTTAAGCTTTTGAATCCTGGATGCACAATCCCCAACACACACACACACACACACACACACGTGCGAACATTCTAAGGTTTCTTCTTCTAAGCTCTACGAACTAAGTGTGTGCTCTGGAAGAACAGCCAGCCTGAAAAAGCCCAGTAGAAAGGTAACTGGTACTAGCATTTAGATTTCAGCTTCCTCTTTAACATGTACAGGCCTAGGTATGTAAACCATATTCACAGTTTTAAGTATTTTTTAACAGAAGTACCTTTTTTTTTGTTTGTTCTTTAAAACTGGCTCTCAGTTCAGCATTCAGTTCATAATGTCACCTGTTTTGTGATGCATTTACAAGATAACTTAAAAATCTGTGCCATATTCATGGTCAAGATAATTCAACAGGAGTAGTAATATCCAACTGTGACATTCAATACTATATTTCAATGTTTGTGCAAACAGCAAAAGAACAGTTGTATGAGGCAAACATTTGCAAAACCTTTAATATCTCCTCAGTGTTGTAAACTTGGACTGTCAGCCTTAAGTCCTGCACTTCCACAGCTTAAAAAAGTCAGTTGCTAAAACAATCAAGTCTCAAAAAGGTTCTCTTCTACATAGTGCAAATTTTAATGTAGATAACGTGAAAAACATATCTAGCTGGATTGACGTTGTGCAATCGTCAGTGGTCTTCTCTCATAGTTGAAGAAAATGTGCATTCAAAGAACCACGTGGTTCAGAAAGTTAGGAGGGTGTGGAGGAGAGAAAAGACAGTTCCATTACACTTCTCAAACCAGTGCTAGATGTGCAAAGGCAGCAAAAATTCCAGCTGCTACTACAACCAGAACAGAGTAACTTTTCAGGAAGACCCAGGCGGTTAGTCACTTGGACTGGTCTCTAGAAAAATATGTGAGTATATGTTGGATTTTTATCAGACGGTCTTTTAAAGACATCATGGAGAGAACTGAGAGCTGGTATCTGGGATCTACTGGGAGAACAGCTAGAAGCCACCAACACCAAGCAGGACCATTGGGCATTGCCTAAAAATAAAACATATGAGTTGGTTACCCATAACCAATGTTGTACAGTTGACTACGATGAAGACATCAAAAGACAAAGTTGTCAATGACTTCTTTAAAGTTTGATACTAACTACAGAATTGCAGATCCATGAGATCAGAAGTGTGCTGAATTCCTCCCCAACTGAGAAGTCAAATAAAGTACACTTAAACTAAGCTTGATAAAGCAATTATTTTTAAGAGAATATAGGAAGCTCATAGCTTCCTTGGGACAAGATGGCCAGGTACAGGGCAGTCACCTAATAACAAACATCTCTGATCAAAATTAAATCCAATACCTGTCATGCTATGCTTGACGCTTGAATATTCTTGAAGCCCAATCTTTTCATTACAATTGTCTTTATTTGAAGGACTTCTCTAACACCCCCCAATTCCATTCCCTTTCTCCTTAGCTCCTAGACAGAGCAGGACCACTTAATCAGTTTCTTCTAAGATGATAAAATATACTATGTAACTTCTTCCTCTACTTTTTTAATTTACTAAACACCAAGCATTAGATGTCAGGCCCAGAGCTGGACATGCTACTCCTCAACAGAGGTCCTATCACTGCAAAGAAGTGACACAAATGATTTGCAAAAAAATGATTGGTAGTGGTACACTCCAGAATGACATTTCCTCACTTGCAGCTGTATCACACAGCTGGCACATTTGCGTGCTCGTATAAATCTCAGGTACATACCCAGAGTATTGCTGCCTTGCCAGTTACCCTGGTTTTGCACACATATTCCTCTGTCCTAGTATGTTGTTCTAAATCTATCTTTAATAAATTGTTCTAAAATCAATTCTGAATTCATGCATGCTACAGCACCTACAATCTTCCCAGATCGATTACATATAAAAGTATGTAGCAGATGGGTGAGGGACAAGCTCCCATAAGATCCCAATTCATATATAATTCCACCTTGAAAGCCAAATTTTACGTATTTGTAAATGTTACTCTTCTACAGCTTCTACTCCCTCAGGATCTCACCAACCTTCCTTCATTGTTTACAGTAACCATTAACACAGATTGCTGCAGCTAGTTTCATAAGAAACATTTGTCAAATCCTAGCAGCTGCAGCAGTTTATGGCACTAGCTCAGAGAGTAGGAAAGTGTTACTTGTGATTTCCTCATTGCCAAAAGTAACTGCCTGCACATGGCAGTTCCAGTTTCTTCCCTGACTTTCACAGAGAAGAAAATACAGGGTTTTTCCCCTTTGAATTCTAACAGCTTTACACAAACTAAGTTTAAATGTTACTGGAACTTAGTATTTTCAGTTTACTAGTTTTATTTCCACATCCCTTCCTGCAAAAACTGCTGACCAGGGACAGAATTGCTTTTTGTTGCTCATCCTAAGAGAAACAAGGGACAAGCTTTATTGTCCTCAAAGCTGGGAAAAATGAGGACAAAAAAAGCTGCAGTTGTTAACAGCATTTTTATTTTTAGAAATAAGCATGTAATAATTTGTATTAAATGATGTCTCACCTGTATATTTTCCTCCCTGTCAGGCATTGGCCCGAAGTGCTGAAGAATTTGAGTGCGAAACTTGTTTCTTAAGTTTTGGAACCAACTGCAGGCCTGACTGTAAACAAAATTGTGAAGCTCTCTCAATTTCTTTAGTTCTTCTTCATCAGCAACCTGTAAGAGGAAAATACGAAAATATGATTAGTGATAAATAAACAACTAAGGTGTTTAAGCTAAAACCAAAAAACATTCCATTATAACTATATTTAGATATATTTCTTGCATTCTCCTAAGTGTTGATTACTAAGGACTGAATAGTAAACTTTTATTTTTCAAGTTACAGCTTCAAAGTATTGTTCAAACAACAATTATAGTACTTCTTGTTGCTTTATAAAAATTCAAAATCCCCAGCTCGCTTGCATTTCTTCCATGCGCTGGCACTGAATCCTCCATTTCTCTAGGGACTTCAAAATTTGCAACAGAGCTCTCAAGAACAAATCAAGCAAAAATGGTGATATATTAATACAAGTAAGTATTTAGACAGCACTCTGGATACCTTAACATCTTCCAAATACTCGATGTCTGCAGTGCAATAACCATCTTTCATCCCTCTCTGTAAAACTCTAAATCTCTTTCCACCAACTGTATCAACAACAGACCGTCCATCAGGGAGAAAATGAACATTCCTAATTTGAAGCATGCATCCATAATCTGCAAAACTGGAAAAAAGACCTTGTCAGCAATGCAAGTATACACTTCTGAAAGGATGCTTTTTATAACTAAAAACAAATAAAAGACACAAGAGATGAGAAGCTTAGAATTAGAATGTAAACCTACCCATTTTGAGAATCACTTATGCACATCCCAAACTGTTTAGTTCCAGTTTCCATACTCCTGCGAATCATTAGTCGGTATCTTGGCTCAAATACATGGAGAGGGCAAGGCACAGTAGGATATGCCATAGTGCAAACAAACATTGGAACATTCTTGGTCAAGCTTCAAGAAAACATCAAAAGAAATATTGTGGCTTCAAAGTCTAAACACTAAACTACGCCAAGACAATACATTTTGTCAGTATGTTTGCTATGTTTGAGATCATAAAGCACTCTTTTCTAAGTTTAAGAAACTTATTACTTTGTAATAGCTTTCATAAACAACAAAAACACACACTAGTAACAATGGATGAATACCTGTGTACTGATTTGCATACATCCCAGACCGGAAGACTCATAGCTAGTGAGTATCTAGTCAGTGAATGAAGGGCTCTGTCCTGGGAACATGGGTGTTAGTTACTTTAAACCTTTTTGTTCTAGTTTGAGCCATACAAGTCATTATGCCCTTAGAGACAAAGTTTTTTCCGGCAGTAAAGAGATGTAGCAGTAACTACATAGTAGCTAGGTCACCATTTAGATTGTAGAATCATCAAAGCTGGAGGAGACCTCTAAGATCATTAAGTCCAACCATAAGCCTGTCACTCTGCTGTAACCCCTAAACCATATCCTCCAGCATCAGATCCAGACACCTTTCAAACATTTCCAGGGATGGTGACTCCACCACCTCCCTGGGCAACCTACTCCAGTGCCTGAACACCCTAACAGGGAAAAAGTTCTCCTGATATCTAATCTGAATCTCCTCTGTCTCAGTTTATGACCATTCCCTCTAGTCCTCTCACTGCAGGCATGGCAGGAGAGACCATCCCCCACCTCTTGCTCCAGCACCTCGATGTCCTTTTTAAAATGAGAGGCCCAAAACTGAACACAGCACTCGAGGTGTGGCCTCACCAGTGCCTAGTACAGGGAGATGATCAGTGCTGGTCACACTATTCTTGATCCAGGCCAAGATGCCATTGGCCTCCTTGGCCACCTGTGCACACTGTTGGCTCTCATTGAGCCACTGTCCATCAGCACTCTCAAGTCCCTTTCTGATGAACAACACTTAAGCCACTCCTCCCCCAGCCTGTAGTGCTGCATGGGGTTGTTATGCTCCAAGTGCAGGACCAGCACTTTGCCTTATTGAACCTCATGCCGTTGTCCTCAGCCCAGTGATCAAGTCTGTAGAGCTTTCCTACCCTCAGGCAGATCAACACTCCCATCCAACTTACTATCATCTGCAAATATAATCAGATTGCACTCAATCCCCATGTCCAGATCATCATTATTTTCCAGGTGCCAGAACAGAGGATTCCCTGCAGCCTGTGGTGAAGACCATGGTGAAGCAGCTGTGCCCCTGTAGCCCATGTTGGTTAACTGGGCACAGAGACCCACCTGTAGCCCATGGAGGAGACCCACACCAGCACAAGTGAATTCCCAAAGGAGGCTGTGAACCTGAGGGGATTCCTTGATGGAGCAAGTTCCCGGCAGGGACCTGCAGACTCGTGGAGAGAGGAGACCCACACTGGAGCAGATTTCCTGGCAGGACTTGTGATCCTGTGGGGGATCTGTGCTGGAGCAGGCTGTCCCTGAGGGGCTGCACTGCACCCTGTGGAGAGTGACCCACACTGCAGCAGTTTGTGGAGAACTGCCACTCTTGGGAAGGACTCACGCTGGGAAAGTCCGTGGATGGCTGCCCCATCTGGGAGGGACCCCACGCTGCAGCAGGGGAAGGAATCCCCTCCCTGAGAGCAGTGGCAGACATAACATGTGATCAGCTGACTGCAGCCTCCCTGTTTCCCTGCACCACTGCGGGGGAGGAGATAGAGCTGGGAAGGAGGGAGGAGAGGGGGAACGCGTTTTTAAGGTCTGCTTTATTTTCTCATTATCCTGCTCTGATCTTGTAAGTAATAAAATCACTTAATTTCCCTAAGTTGACACTGTTTTGACCCTAATGGTATTAGCTGAGTGATTTCTCCCTGTCCTTATCTCAACTCATGACCCTGTCCCCCCACTCCTCCCTGTCCATTTGCAGGGAGTGAGAAGAGAGGCTTCAGTGGGTGCCTGGCATCTAGTCAGGGTCAACCCACTTCAGTGAGACAAACACCATGACTACAAAAAAAACCAACAATGTCTTTTGATCACACCTATCTGTATACAATTAGCATCTATCATGAACTGCTTTGCAAGAAATTCAAGTATCTGAGGCTCTGCAGTCAACTGAAGAGAACAAATCCATTAACAGCAGCAAAGCTAAAACTGAAGCTCCATGACAGCGTGTGCAGAAAGAAGAATGGAAAGGGAAACGCATTTCATAGAATCATAGAATGGCCTGGGTTGGAAGGTACCTTAAAGATCATCTAGTTCCAACCCCTCTGCCATGGGCAGGGACAGTTTTCACTAGACCAGGTTGCTCAGAGCTCTATCCAGTCTGGTCTGACCAACCTAGTGGCCTTCTATGATGGAGTGACTACATCAGTGGACAAGAGAAGGACAAGATGCCATTTACCTGGACTTCTGTAAAGTCTTTGACACGGTCCCTCACATCCTTCTCTCTGAATTGGAGAGAGATGGATTTGATGGGTGGACTGTCAGAAGGGTAAGAAAGTGGTTGGATAGTCCCATCCAGAGGGTAGTGGTCAATGGCTGAGTTCTGACAGACAGGAGTGACACGTGGTGTCCCTCAGGGGTTCATACTGGGATCAGTGTTATTCATCCATGGCATAGACAAAGGGATTGAGTGCACTGTCAGCAAATATACAGGTGACATCAAGCTGAGTGGTGCAGTTGACACACCTGAAGAACAGGATGCCATCCAGGGGCACCTGGAAAAGCTCGAGTAGTGGGCCCATGAGGTTTAATAAGACCAAGTGTATTTTGTAGAGAACTCAAGAGCCTCACTTTGCTACTACTAAACTATTTTTACTTATTCATAAGAATTTTTAATTCCACAATAGTTTAAAAAATGGTAATTTTGTGAAATACACATTTAAAACACCAAATTAACATGTCTTCATATTCCTTCTTGCATGCATAATATACCACTATTAATAACCACAAAAGTAATAAAGCATTTCTACAAAGGATTTCCATACTAATTTCTTAAGGTTTCTAAATAAGACAGCAAGCTTACTTGGAGTGTTCAGCAGTTTCTTCAGCATGAATTCTTTTTCTCTCGTATAATTCATCAGACAAATATTTCATTATTAATTCCTCCAGGAGTTCTGTGATACTATATTTTCTGCTTGCAAGGTACTGTAAGCAATTAAAAAAAATTAACATTTCTTTTCATATATATTAACAAAAGCCTTGAGAAAATGCAGCTTTTATTTAAAACCCTGATCCATGAAATGTGCCATAAAACCCACAAAAAATTACAGGTCTGAAGTTATGTTTCATTACTTAACACTAATAATATTTGAAAATTAGATTCTCTGTTTTAGTTCTTCATGTCTGACAATTCAAGTATCTAACTCTGTTTCTATTTCTATGCTTACCATGCACAGAACTGATTTTCTAGGATATACATTCATACAAATAAGGAAAGCACACAGAAATCAGAGAGGTGTTACTGAACAGTGACCAAAGTTTACACACAGACACAGGATTTTGTTAAACCAACAGAGTAGCTGGTCACAGAAACATAAAACCTAATCAACTTGTATTGACAAAATTTGTCTCCAAGTTGTTGGGTTCAAGGGGAATAGCCTTTAAAATGATATAAGATTTGTATTTGTGAGCTTTTTACTGAGAAACAATACCTCTTTCAAACTCTCCTTACAGAGTGGACACTGTGGAGCGTGATCTAAACACCGTTCCAAACAGCCTTTGCAAAAACTATGACCACAAGGGGTTGTCACTGGCTCGAAGAATAACCTGAAACAAAATTATTAAAAGTCAGATGCCATGGCCAGTGTGTGTTTTGCTAAAAAATCTCAGTGATCAGCTTCTTTAAGACTAGTTATACTATAGCAAAGCAGAGAAAAACTAATCTCATGTCTCTTTATTTTACTTTGTACTGCAGTTTGTTTCCATTTACCACATCACTGATTAGTTCTTTGAGGGATCTGGACATATTTCAACACTTCAAGTACCTAAACGTTTATCCCAATATACAAACATTTTAGTCTCACTACATAAAGAGTCAGAATAAACAAAATTAAGTCATTCTTTGAGAAGCTAAGTTGTTTTAATAGCAGTATTACATACTAGCAACATAACCGTGGATAGCTTTAGTACACACCATATGTTTTATGGTATTTATTCTGAAAACCAAGACAGTTCAATAAAAGCTTCCAAATACAACATCAGCTACATTTAAGTGGACTTATATTCTGAAGCATCTACATCTCCTAGACAAATATAAGGTTTGCAGGCAATACTTCTAAGCACTAGCCTTCCTAAACTAAGAAGTTAAATAGTTTTATTGACTGAAAACCACAGAAGATCCTGTCCTTTTAAGGTTACCAGTTAACAACACCAAGTTTATTTAAATGTGTCACTCGCTACAATGCTCTATACTATAGGACTATTTTAATCAAGTTGCCCCTTAAATTAAACATTTAACTGAAGGGATAGAGGAGAGCTGTAAATTACTGGCTGGTATCACAACTCCTAACAACCTCTAAGTACCTCAGTTTATACACCTAACAGATATTCAGCTAAGCATCTGTAACAAATATTGAATCAAGGATAAAATCTTACCTCATACATAGAGAGCACTCAAAATCTGATACATCAATCAAATCCCCTGGAATTGTTCCAAAAGCCAGTGTCATGTCCCTTTTTGTACTTTCTAAGGAGAAGCGAGACAAAATACTCCTTCAAGAAAGGCACAGAACAATAACTATCTTAAGTTTCAGAGTAAGTGACTGTTTACCTCCTTGCTTTTTGTGTTTGTTTCTTCCATCCTCACATACGACTGTATCCTGTTCGGAAAAGGAAAGCTTTCTTTTTAACAAAGCACCTTTTCCTTGGCCAGAGAGAAGGGGTTCAGAAGACACTCTCTTTAAGCCATCTTCCTTGGCAAGGTCTTTTGTTGAGTTAAGAGCATGGGCAGACTGTGCACGATTTAAGCCTCCACTGACAGGCTCCAGGACATCTGATCCTCCTAAACTCTGTAATAGCAAGATGAACTGAACTGTATTTTAAGAGTAACATAAATCTATGTATGTAAGATGTGACCAGAAATATATAAATATATAAATCATTAACAATTATAAATCTCCATCTGCTTTGAAGAGGAAAAAAATTATATTTCACTTTATTTTGAAGTCCCTAATATCAAACTTCAATACCTTCTGATCCTTTATTGATTATTTATTCTAGTTCACTAGAATGAGGAGTCTTAACACCAAAGCAAATTACTCCCAAACCACAATTCTTTTCTTCCAATTTAGCCAGTTACAGAAAGTCAGCATTTATAGTGGGAAGTAAGGATGACAAATCAGGATATCAGTACATCTGATGCTTATGTATCAGTCAAGAAGAGAAAAGTTATCTCAGAGTTTTTGTTACCTGCTGAGGACAAAGTTGTAAATTGCAGTAAGATGCAGTCAGCTCAGAACCAAGCATAAAAGGTTTATTTCGAATATGAGGTGAATTCCAAGCAGATTCCTTCAGACTCTCACCTAGCTTCTCTGGTGACAAAACATCACACAATGTCTAGAAAAAACAGCTAAATGTTAATTATAACAAAAAACAATCTAGACATGCCTTTATTATAAAGCTACTATATAGTAGAAAGCTACTATAAATTTAAGCTGTATGAAGTTATCATAAACAGTATATAAGCAGTGACTGAGAAAGAAGAGGTGAGAATTAGCAGAAACCTACATACCTACATTGCTAAAACAAAATTTATCTAGACTACAAGCAAGTGAGCTGTTTGAACAGAGTTAGACATTATCAATTCAGTATCATGCAGCTTCTTCAATGTAAATTTTTATTACAAAAGAAAACCTGTTGTGCTCTGGGCACAGATTTCAGTTTAGAAAATTTAACTTGCTGCCTGCTTTCCAGTTTTCTAGATATTCATTTAGCAACTTCAAAAGCATATGTACTTTTAAATGTGTACTTAAAACATGGACATTAGGACTATCTCTTCAATGTAGCATGATTCATCTTAAAAGGAATCTGTCACCTGAACCTTCTCTGTATGTAATGAAGATTTTTACATGCTCAAACTCTACCATAATAGGAGCTGTATAAAAGAATCAAGTCAGAGATAGGAGTCTAGTATCATAAATAAAATTACCTTTTCTACTTCTAGCTTGGCTGGAAGGAAGTCCTCATCAAGGGCTAAGCACTGTAGAAACAGTTGTAAGGCATCACCTACAAAGCCAGAGTCTTGCAGCACTTTTCCTTTCTGGAAGTAGACCTGAAAAACAGATATGATGAACACACTTCTAGAGACTATGTAGAACTGCAGTATTGATCTGACAGGCATTACAAGAGTTGTAATGTCTGTACAACAGAATCAGAACCTGCTATAACACAAGGAATGCAGCTCTTTAACAGACTTCAACTCTGCAGTGTGGTTGATCCATATGCCTTGTCTAACACACATGTGGCTACAGTGCTTGAAAAGAGTCATGGGGATAGGCTGGTGTTGGTCTTCTTCCAGGTAACTTGTTTTGGCTTACACAACGGTTAAAAACCTGACTAGTGCTGAATGCATGCAAAAGTCCTTATCTTCCCTCTTCTGTGAGGCTTTGGAGGGGAAGAAGAGGGACATAAAATGCCATTTAATATATAAGCTCACACAAGAGCTTACAGGATACCCTTTTTGCCCTCTCTTTCATTAAAAGCCTCATGGTTCCAGCCTGGAGAAAGGTAACTACAAACAAAACAATCCACACAATCATGTATCCCTTACATACATCTTAATCTATATTTTTAACACAAAATAATGTACTTTTGCAATGGATTTCTCCAACTATACTGTATTCTTGAACACTGGACAGTAGCTAGAAAAAAATAAATCTGTATATTATTTTCTCTGGAAGAAAAAAGGGGGAGAAAATACTACTGAATTTTGCTGAACTTACTTGTAACTAGATGATGTTGCAACTAAGAATATATCTTAATTTTAAAAGTTGTACTGGCAGTAATATAAGTTAAAGTTAGATAAAACCAATATATAATAAAAGTTAGTTAAAACCACATCTATCTGTGTATGAGAATTTGGATAATGGGCCAGAAGCTAAACTTAAGGAAACCAACAAAACCCCACAAAAAAGCCCAAACATAAAACCCAGCATGCAGTTTCAACAGAGTGACTGGCAGAACAAACAGTAGCATCTGCTCAACAAGACTGTCAGATGAGGCCATGCATCCTCTTTGATGGATCTGGGCAGTTTCATTAAGATCTGTTCTGAAGAAGGAAAGTATGCTAATCCTCCTCTTACAGACAGCTGATTGTCCTACAGAGAGAAGGGTCATTATAGGAATCCATCAAACCAAGCTCAGTTAAATGAAGTGAGGTTTATTTCCAAACATACAGAAAAAAAATTACTACCAACACTGAGAGGGGAAAAGCAGGAGGCCCTCTGAATTTGCAGTAGCCACAGAACTACACATACAAGAGGAACCAAGACAACAGCAGTTATCTCTACTTGTGTGGCAAGATCTTACTCCTGCTGTGCTCAGAGTTTAGACAGTTCTACAATATGCAGTATCTCAGAGCTCTGAAGACCACTAACTCCCCAGCTGCCTGGACTACTTGCAAAGCTCAGTTCCCACTGGGTTTCTTTGGGCTTTTCAAAGAAAAACTCTCCAAGCTAAAACAGCAAAGTGTCCTTCTGTTAACAAAAATTAACACAGATAAACAAAAGAAGCCCCAAACCTCAGCTGTTACAGGTTACATCACCACAAACTGTCCCAACTCTTGAGCATATTTCTGAATCAGTTCCAACCTGCCAGAGTCGTCATTAACCTGTCTTGTCTAAGTTAACTATTTTAGATGCCTTTTAGCATTTTGCATGTCTTACAAGATAATGTTTAAAGAAGCTGACTTAGGTTTTTAACCTGATGCAAGTCTAATTTAGACCTTATTGATTCAATAGATAAAAGCAATATTGAAAAATGCAGAGTATGTATCAACTTACCTCTGGCCAATTTGGCATTTTAGAAATAACAAAATTTAGATCTTCTATGGCTGTTTTATATTCTTGGAGGCCAACATAGGACTCAGCTCTATAAATTCTTAGCATCAAGTCACTGGAATCTGAAGACAAAAATCAGACAAAATTTTTTTAAAAATCAGAAATTTGCAATTTTTAATTAGATTTGCTTTCATAGTGATATGTCATAATCATGATGCTTTGTACAATACTTCCAGAATTACTGGAGTACATTCTCACCATCCCCTAGGAGTGGGTGGTGGTAATTCCAGGTTCATGTCTTTTAAGCTAAGGATCAAATTTTGGACCCCCTAATGCATCTTGCAGCAACAATAAAATGTATTTTCAAATATGTAACTGAGGCTGACAAAGTACTGCTCAGTACTGCTGTGACACAAAAACTGAGGACTAAGTACATCCATTCAAAACCACAGAAATCTGGGAATTCATCACACATATTAGAAGTCTAAGTATTACAAAATTTGCATTCAAACACCCATGTTTTTCTGACAGACATTAGGTTTTATAATGCCCAATCCCCTCCAAACATGGCAGGAGATACAGATGCCACTTTCACAATGGTATCAACCTGGGAAGTACCAGACAAAGGCTTTATCTCTATGTGATAACAACAGACAGCCAATAGCAGAAAGCTTTAACAGCAGCTGGTAGCCCTGTTGTAAGGAGTGGAACTTCTACAATAGGAAAACAGAATGTGTTCAATAAGGACAAGTCCTCCTGTCCAACACACAGCATTTTGCACTTTTGGTACAGCAGCCTCTAAATGGGAAGCACACTCATTTCCATGCCATTAAAACTATGGTTTTGTAACACAACTAATTGCAGTTGCTGCTTGAAAAAAATGCCAACACGCTGCTTTATTCTTGATTGTTTTTAGAAATACACCTGTTTTTCAGTGAATGAGAGAAACAAGTCAAATATTGGTCTACTATAAACAATACTAAAATCAAACAGTTCTTTAAGCTTGTTTCAACAAGGCTTTCTTAGGAGGTGATTATTTCAATTTGACATTCTTAGTCTACTCTAAACATCTAATACAGATTTTTATAACTTGGCCACATTAGCTTGTTTTAGCTTTAAAAGCTATCCTGATCAATGTTCCTATATATTCCAACTCATTGCTTTGTATTGAGATCCACAATGCTACATGTAAAAATACCTTTATGGAAAAGAAAGGGTTAAGAAAAATCAAAATTCACAGAAGCCCTCAGAGCTGAAACTAAAGTGTCTTCCTGATTTGACTTTCTTTTGAGCTGACAATTTCCCTTCAAACACAAATATTCCCAAACCTGGTTTGTTTCATTTCCATTTTAGCCATAATAAAATGCCTGTTTTAACAGCAGTCTGGGAAGCTCTTTATCTGACTCAAACACTAATTCTGCAAGCAGAACAACTCTGCAGCCTGGTTTCCTGTGGCTTTGTGTTTTGTGACTGCTATAGCCTAGAAAAGTGGGAGCTCAGATCAAACTCTTCAGATCAGTTTTTGTGTCATATTTGACTCTCTGGCATCCAGCAGAGTTAGTATCAAACCAAATCCCCTTCTCCAGAGGTAGCAGTAAGTGCTGGTCTTTGTTCTCTGATAAGCTGCCTATTTGCACAGAATCAGAGGAAGCTCATCTTTTTCAGACATTCAAGTAGAGAACATGACCTGAGGAACTCTGAGCTTTCTTTCCTGGGGGTGAATGAGGGATAGCTCGAAGACAAAAACGTGAGTTCAAGTCTACAGCAGGTGGACATTTTGTCTATTTCTTTTTCAAAGAGAAAAGCATGACTCCAATTGAACTGGTAAAAAAAAAACCAACACCAAGAAACCCAAAACGGGCTAAATCAAGGAGTTTAGTTGGAACCCCAACTCTGCTGCTGAGCATACAAATAATGCCACTGAAAGATCAACACACTAACAAATTGGGTCTAAAAGAAAATTATTACAAGTAGTATTCCTCAAGGCTCAGTACTGGAGCCAGTCCTGTTTAATATCTTTATCAATGATCTGGATCAAGGCTTCAAGTGCACACTCATTCTGCAGAAAATGCCAGGTTGACCAGGAGTGTTGATGTGCTAGAGGGCAGGAAGGCTCTGCAGAGGGATCTGGACAGACTGGATCCATGGGCTGAGGCCAGTTGTATGAGGTTCAACAGGACCAAGTGCTGTTCCTGGACTCAGGTCACAACAATCCCATGAGGTGCTACAGGCTAGGGGAAGAGTGGCTGGAAAGCTGCCTAGCAGAAGAGAACCTAGGGGTGCTGGTCAACAGCAGCTAGACATGAGCCAGCAGTATGTCCAGGTGGCTAAGGAGGCTAATGGCATCCTGGACTGTACCAGAAATAGCGTGGCCAACAGGACCAGGGAAGTTATTGCCCCCTGTACTCAGCAGTGGTGAAGCCACACCTTGAGTACCCTTGAATCCTGCATCCAGTTCTGGGCCACTCATGACAAGACAGACATTGAAGCACTGGAGCACGTCCAGACAAGGGGAACAGAGCTAGTGAAGAGGCTGGAGCACAAGTCTGATAAGGAGCAGCTGAAGGAATGGGGCTTGTTTATCCTGGAGAAAAGGAAGCTCAGGAGGGACCTTATCACTTGCTACAACTACCTGAAAGGAAGCTGAAGCTAGGAGGGGATCAGTCAGTCTGTTTTCTCAGGTAAGGAGTGACAGAAAGAGACTAAACAGTGCCAAAGTGCACCAGAGGAGATTTAGTTTGGGTATCAGGAAAAGTTTCTTCACCAAAAAGGGTGGTCAAGCATTGGAACAGGCTGCCTGGGGAAGTGGTGAAGTCACCACTCCTGGAGGTATTTAAAAGACATGTAGATGTGGGCTCAGAGACACAGTTTAGTGGTAGACTTGACAGTGCTGGGATGACAGTTGAACTCAAGGATTTTAGAGGTCTTTTATAACCTAAACAATTCTACGATTTTATCTAAATTTATATATCCAATTTTGTAACCACAACTTAATTTTTAGACTTTGCAATCGTGACAAAAACATTTTGCAATGTTTCAGCAGATATTTTACTGTTTGCCACCTAAAGAGAAGATGCAAACTGATCTCAGCTCTTTAGACCACAGACTTAACAAGGCAGAAACACAATTTGTGCCTGAATTTTCAGTTTCACTAATCCAATATATTGTAAATACAGAAATCACTCCTAGTATATCCAAAGAGAAACAATTTTAATACAAAAGACATCAAGTACTTGCAGTGCAGAACTGTGTGTATCCGTGGTTATTATTACATTAACAGGGAAGTATACAGAGGGGGACATGCAAAACCCCACTCAATATGCATTCTTGGGTTTTATGTTACTTCCAAAGCATCTGCTCCTGGCTACTGTCGGCATAAACATACTAATACAGGGACTACACCTCTGGTCTGATCCTGCATGCCTTTTAAATGGTTCTTAATAACATGCCAAATTCTTCAAAATAAAGGACATCCACATGACAACCACTGTAGAAAAACTTTAGGACACAGTACTATAGGGTCACCCTAATGATTGGTGTTGGAACACACAGCCCATAAGAAGGTGCTGAGAGAACTGGGCTGGTTTAGCAGAAAACAATTTCCAAAGGCATTAGGAGAATTACAAAAGTTTTTCAGAATATGGGAATGGGTTACCTGTAAGACTTTTACTGCAGTGCACAGTGGAAAAGCAATAGAGACAATGGTTATAAACCAAACCAAGGCCAGTTTGGACTTGAAATAAGGATAAAATTTTTCACCATAAGGATAGTTGACCTTTGAACAGGTTGCCCAGAGAGGCTGTAGAATCTTCAGCCTGTAGGTTTTCAGGATCCAGCTGTACAAAACCTTAAGCAAACTGTTCCAATCTCAGTATTTATTCTGCTTTGAACAGGAGATTGATTGCT